TGAAGGGCTGAGCATTAAAGATGTATTTACGTGGCAACATCGCCTTGAAAGACCTAGACGGGTGGAGACCAGGAGTCTGTTGTGGGGAAGGCGTGCGTTGCAATAAAGCGTTGTGTACAGATTGGCTACGCTGGGGTGTGTCCAGGCCTTGGAAAGCAAAGAACCCCCACCCTGATAATGCTTTGCTGGGAGCCTGGGGTCTTCACTGTCTTATGGGTGGCATGCTAATAAAATTATGTTGTACCTTCAAAGTGATTTGGTTGCATTAAGAGAGCCAGGCTTTGGCGACGTGGCATCTAAGCACTTTAAATAAATGATGATAATTTACCTTTTCACCTTTTTCTCCTTGTTCCCCTGGGTGGCCTTTTGGTCCTGGAGGACCCACGGGCCCAATTTCCCCCTAGACATGGGAACAAAATGGACATTTGTGGGCCGTTATTCTCAAACAATGTCCTGAGGAATTTTCTGGAGCAAGTCATTCGCCCGTGAGAAGAAGAACTGCTTTTCCCACCCAGACTGAGTGACCCAAATTAATTTGTATCTCCTGGCTGAATGCGCCGGAAGGACCAAAAGTTTCCTTCAGATTCTACACCTCTCTGAATTCTACAACTTTAGTCTTTTGATTTAGCAAAGAAAACCCCGCATTCCAAAAATTGTGAACATTATGGGGAAATGCATCCAGAAATAAATGCAAACGGGGAGCAGAATCACAGGGCAATCAGAAATTTATGGATAATGAGTTTGTAGAATTCACCGCAGGCAAATAAGCGCACAGGGGATGGATGAATCTTTCCATTCAGTGCTGGTTTGGGGATAAAAAACACCTCTTCTCTGATAGCTTTATTAGTAGAATCCTACATTTCCAATACAGGTCATAGAGAATTAGATTTTTTCTCCCTCTGTTGGGTGACTAGCCGCGTTAGCAGATAATTGCAGATTGCCTGCTCATGAATGGCGCATGTGAAAACAGACAGTAAGTGCTCATACATAGTTGACAGTGAACAGTTTCTCATGCGCCCCACAGCCTTTGCAGCATAATGCGAGGTGTTTTGGTAACAAGAACAATAATGAACCTGCCTTGAGTGTGTTTTTCCCTAGTAGAACTGGTTTACAGAACCCAACAGGCCAGTTTTTAACCATGTTGATGATAAACTCTGCACACATTTAAAGGACATGCTAAGGTTGGGGAGTTGAAACTTTGGTTTCTTTTGTGCCAACCCAGCATGTTTGAGCAATTCATGAGTCAGTTGGCTAATTTTTAGCCAAGAAAATTGTGCTGTGGGAGCCTGGTCTACACATCCCTTTATGAGTGTGTCTCATCCAGTCTAGCTCAACCTTATTCAGTTCCTGTTCAAGTGTATGAAAGATGGGAAAAGGGAAATGTTGGTCACCAGAAGAAGATGAGGTCTGATCTAGAAGATCTTTTTTTAAGGTTCACAGAAACAATAGTCACAGAAGCTCTCCTTAATTGCTTTGATCTATCTAAAACCTTGTTGAGATGTTTTCCAGTGCCATGACTTTCATCTTTGGGGCTCTGTCAATGCCTCCCATCTTTGGCTTCCTGTGTAGACCTACTCTACTTACCCGAACTCCTTTCTTGCCTGAAGGTCCCACCACCTATGAATGAAGAGATCAGGTCAGAGTCTTGCAATCCAGTCAAAATCCTGATTTTCATGGCTGCATGTTTTCCTAAACTGTTATAAAGCTACATCTATATTTAATTGAATCCAAGCTGACACAGTGTATAAGAATAAAGGTGAGATGTTTCTTCCAATAGGAGAGTTTGGACTTTCTTTTAATTTTATTTTGTATTACTCTGCAAACTTTCCACTTATATTACTTTCCACAGAATATCTGTATTTTGTCATTTCTGTGTATTTGTCTTTTTTTCTTATTTTCAAATTAATAAATAATTAATTGTTTATCTTTCAAAAAAAAGAATGGTGAGATTTATATGGCTTTGAACTCTTCTCTCATTCAGATGAAAATCAGAGCGAGAGAAAAATGCCTTATTCACCCTCTGAAGCCATCCTCTTTCTGGACAGTGTGACAGCAGAACAATTTCTTGTGGCCCTTGGGAATTGTCATTTTTTCCAAACATAACTATTTCTGGCTGGAATATCCCTATTCCTCCTCTTATTGCCACCATCACAGTTCTAACTGAAAAGAGGATAAAGAGCCTTTAGAGAATCAAAGTGGAAGTGTGTTTGTTTATTGATTCTGAAGTCAGACTAGCTTGAAAAAAAGGAATTTCCCTAGCATTTTACAAATGTGCTTAGCGCCCCCCCCCCACCTGGAATTGTGCACAATTTTATTTCTGGTATCTTATTTTTGAGAAGTTCCCAACCTGTAATGGCATGTGGGAAAGACCTTGGGAGACAGGAGAAAGAGTCACACCCTAGAGAACGGTCTGATAAATGAGATTTGAGTCTGAAGGACAGGTGGGGGGTGGAGAAAGCATCTCAGAAGGGACTTTCCCTAATGTTCAGGAGAGGAGGGGTACTTTCAGACTTGCAAGATTCTGCTAATGTAACCTTACAATAAAGATAGAGTTAGTACTTGCCTTGGCAACCACAAAGGGCCCACACGCATCTTGCCAGTCTGGAAGTACCCCCCCCCT